GGCTTCTACAAAAGAAAAGTACTTTACCAAGTAGGAAAAAATAAATAAATAATAATTATAGTATCAGGGACCTGTTACCCAGAACACAGCTCTTACATTAGTTCAAGAACAACAAAAAATAAATAAATAAATAAATAAATGGGGAAACGTTCCACTCTTGATTAAAAGAATTTTGGGGTTATGAAAGTTTCAGGGGAATTAATGCACTCCAACACAGCTTGTTCTAATTCTACAACCCCTCTTTACAGAAATAGCACACGAAAATGGAAGCTCTGTTTCTCTCAAACCTGAGAATTCCAATTGAAAAACCCCAGCCTTCCTTCCTCCCCATCCACCTGTGATGATGGCAACTTTTCCAAAGGAAAAGTTCTCAGTGAGGTCTCTACCCCATCTTGGAGAAGAAAAAATTACTGGGGAGGGGCCAGGCAGCTGTCATCAATACTCAGAGAAGGTTTTATGCTGGGGAGAGGAAACTATCCCCTTATAAAAGCCTGTCACATGCTTAGGGAAGTGTTTTGCACACTGGATTCATTCTTTCCCACAATCAACTTTCTGATTTGTGAATGCCAACTCTACAGGATGCCTAAAAGACTCTGAAAAATTCAAAGGAAAAAGAAGATGGGAACTAATAACCAACCCACTCTCCCTCTGAGCAGCAGTGGGATCCTAGAGGGAGACATCTTCATACGTCCTACAGAGTGTAACAGCCACCAGTACACACAGCTGAGAATTCCTGAGAATTCCAGCACTGCTAACTTGTTATAGTCTCAACTTTTTACATACAGTAAAAGGCCACCTTGTTGACCATAACTGTTTGTCTTACAGCTTATTCAGCATGCAAGTCAAACATGCTAACTTCATGTACTGCATTACCCATGTTCTAACGTGGAATGATACAATCCAGCAAGAAGCCCTATGTGCTGTCTACTGAATTCTTGGTTTTAATTTACAGGTCTGCCATAATAAACATAAAATATACTCTTTTCTAAATAAAAGCTTCAAGGCACTTTCTACAACAGAACATTTTCAGAGTTTTTAGAGTAAACAGCCTCTGAGGAAAACAGCAGAATGAGGAAATACTTCTCTTGACATACAATCGTATGAGCCATTTTCTTTCTCTCATTTGTTAATGATACAAAAGGCACTTCTCAAAAATGGTTTACTACACTAACAAGAAATATTGGCAAAATAATTAATTTCTACCTGTCTTGTGTTTTAGCAACTGGAAACTAGCAGCACGTAACCAACCAATTCTCCACAGACTAACAGCAAACCCTGTGTGTTTTAAGAGCCTGTCCTTTAAGATTATTTCTGAACATAATAGATGAAAAAGAAAAAAGATTTGCAAAGCTGAACAATGGGATAATAAGCCTGTGAACAACTAGGCAAATTAAAAGTGAATCCATGGGAGGAGAGCATTATGTCATCCTGAACACGTTGATCTAAATAGCCAAACCTTTATTACACTCCGGATTTTATTTACACCACTTCACAGATATGGCTTAAGGCATTTTATTCAGATGTAGTGGCTCTCCCTTTTGTGTTGATATAAATGACACATTTCAGAGATATTATTTTGTTAAGAATTTCTCCAGGTTTTATGCAGCTACAGTTTTTATGCAGGATATTTTCTTACAACATGCCAGAGATGACCACTATAGTGTATCAGCTGATACCAAAATAGTAATAATATATCTTCCAGTTACATGGCTCAATGTCAGAAACAACACAAATTTAAGAGGCAAACTGCTCTCCAGGTAGTAAAAAGCCATAGATAGCTTTAAGTAGTGACTAATTGCAGCATCTATCTTTAATTTACTGTGAAACGCACCTCTGAAATCCTATCAACAGATTTTGCATTTACTGTAGTTGTGACAGAAGTCAATGACCTTAAAATGTTTTCACCTCTCAGAAGTTGTAAAGGTTCAAGCAAAAAATGTCTGCTTAAGCAAAATCTTTACGTCACAATAACTAACCCAAATCTGTTACCCTCTAGAACACATGCACAAGTTTTCAGTAATTTGAAGAGCTGCCTAACAGCAAGAAATTCACACCCTTGAGGCAGAAGCATCACATCAGACATTGTAGTTATAAAGAAAATTCAAACCTAGATATGCCCAAAACAAAAAACCAAGACAGTCTAGTCCTTCAACTAGGAAGGCTTACAGTCCAGGCTTTGGCCATGTGAGGAGTCACTTTATAGAAGGAGCTAAAGTGCAGATGGAAAGCAACAAAATATCCCTGAATACTCTCATCATCACAAGGAAATCAAGAACTGACCTCACATTCCTATTTCAGCCAGCAATTTTTTTTTTTAATAAATTACAGTTTCCTTGCAAACTTTAAGTAGTTACTCAAATGCAGAATTCATGCTTATTATTATTAACTAAATACTGATAACCTGTTTTTAACAGCTAAAAGTGCAATAAATAATTTAGTGAGTTACGTATTTCTTCTCTATGCCGTTGGACATTGTTTTAAATTTTATATAGAATGCTTCTCTTTTCCTTCTAGTTCTAGACTAACTACACGACCAGCCCCTCTATAATGTAGACCACTTAAAAATACAGATGCTTCACCTTAGTAACAAGACTGCATCCATTAACATGGATGGAACAGTGGAACATGATTTGTTACATTAACATAACAGGAACTAGGGAGAAAATTGGAACTAACAGGTTTAGCAATATATTTCTGATTTTTGTTTTAAATCAACATATTGATGCTTGAATTAAAGAAAACGTGGCATCCTGTTTCCATAGAAGATGCATTTTTGAACATCTTTCAGTATAAAAATACATCAACTGTAACTAAACTGTCCTTCATTTCTCAGACTTATGTATGCTACAAAAGGCTTATGTCACACAAAACAGTCATCTTAGAAATACAGTATCACAAATGGCCTTTGTGATAGGAAAGGGTTAATCACTGCTTTCAGTTAAACCCAAATAACTTAAATGACAGGGAATTATGCAGCAACATCTATAAACACAGTGACCATATTAGCAGAACAACAGTTATGAAACCCCTGCCAACAGTACTTGTACAGGGATTTTTTTGTTTGTTTGTTCTAATCAAGATCTAGAAATCTTACCAAGTTCTGCTGCTTGGGGTATTTGCAGAGTGCTGCAAAAAATCTCTAAGACTAGGCAGCTTTAGAGAATGTAACACGCAATAGTAACCATGACGATAAGAAAAATGCTTTTGCTAATCTTTTTCTTTCAGTTGACAATACTTTCAAATACTGGTGTTTTTCCACTGGATTACAACTTTTTTCTATTGCTCCCTGTGAATCCAGGCCTCCTATCCTTGTAAACCTGAAACTTCTGATCAATGCACGGCAATTTGGGGTGCACTAGTAACGCAGAATGATACCTGACCAGTCCACTGCCATCTGAAAAGACTGTGATAGGATGGAAATCAATGGCTGGCAACTATGTCTTATTTCACTGTTGCACTGAACAGCTACTGAAAAAAATTATTACATTTTTAAGATAATTACTTTGCAAGTAAACGGGGAATCTAAAAACTAACAAAGGCAGAATGTATGTAGGGTATTTCTATGGAGATCATAAAACTGCTGAGGTAGATTACAATTTGGCCCTAGGCAGCCTGATCATAAATTTTAAGAAAACTGCCTGGAACTCCTCTGCATTGATTTTGTCTTTGTTCTGTATTAAGTTGGAGTTTTAAGCAATAAAAAATAAGAGAAATAAAGATTATTCTGACATTAATCATTGCTCTCTACTATTTCTCCAACAGAATTGCCCCAAAAATCGGGATAATGTTTTAAAAAGATGTATAGGATAAGGATCTGAAGTCACATTTTGAAAAGTGACTAAAGGGGCGATTTTCAAAGGCATTAAGATACCTAAAGATGCATTAAGCACTTAGAATTTTCAGAACTGCCTGGGCATCTAACGCCTTTTTACATCACTTAGTCCTCTCTGAAAATCCCAATGGGCAGTTACCTACATTTTATGTATCTATATGCCTTTGAAAACCTGTACCATTAAATACTTAACAACCTAAGCCCTCGTGGCTTTTAATGGGACTTTGAGTTCTAAAAAGTGTAAGTACATCCAGAAATTGGTCAAGCCACTCTCACTGGTCTTTTCCTTTTTTCTTTTAAAGAGCCATCTCCTACTGCTTATCCATAGCATGTCAGTTAACTACAGCTTCAGCACTGTCCAATTTACACACGTTCAATTTATGTAGCTAAACAAATAAATGTCCCAAGTACGGACTGCATCCTCACAAGACTTCCTGAAACTCCTAAAAAGAAATGCAATTCCAAGCTGTAACCCCAGTGAGTGGCCCCCCCCCCCCAAAATGGCGTTTTCAATAAATATTATCCAGAATGAGTATAATTTAGGTTGATAAAGAACAAACATCACAGTTAAATCACCAAGCAACATATTCGAAATATGATAAAAAGGTTCTTAGAGACAGCCACACACCAAGGGGGAAAAAAACCAAAACAACAAACACAAAACCAGAAAAAGGAGGAAGTTGTGAATAGGCTCTTTAAACAGGCAGCAGTTCCAGAAAAGAAGACAAACCTTACCTTAACTCTGAATTTTGTTTTAAACAAAACTGTATTAAACTATAAAGCATTCCCTTATGCAAACATTAGAAAGATCTATCTTCTGATCTTCCATAATGTCAATAGCAGGTAACTTGCACTGACCAAATTCCCAAAAAAGAACTGATTTGTAAATTGGGAACACAGGGAATCAGATTGCCACCTACAGGAAAATTTAGCATTTATTGTCAAGAATTACTCAAAAAGAATACAAATTGCCATTCTGCCAAGCATTCTTTCAGTTCTAACTATTATTTCAAAACCGATTAGTCTTTTCTTTTGTGCAACTATATCATGAACTTCCTAAATCCAGGAAGCCATTATCATTTCTTTTTACTTATGAGAGTAGTGCTTTAAAGTTCCATAATTCAATTACAAAATCAAGTATCAGTTAAAGAATGTTAAATCTGCTTACCTGATACAATTGGTGCTAGCCTGAATATGTCTGATAGTCTGCTGTTAACTGGCTCATAAGGGGAATCTTCAAGTAAGTCATTTCCTAAGGACAAAAAAATATTCAGATTTTTTTCTTAGACAAAAAGTCAGGGTAAGATTTGTTTACTTTTACTCTGTAACAGAAAAACATACTCCCCTTTAACCTGTTTAAGTGGCTACTTATCTATAAAAACACCTGAAAGAAACTGTCACTAGATCTTTTCTCTCCTTCCTCCTTGGATAAGGTCATAAGTTTCAGAGACAGCCTGTGACATCACAGAGACTGTCCCATCTCATGCCAGCAGGAGAGAAGCAAGGGTGCCCCTCTTCACCATAATAGCAGAGCTCTTTTTTAGAGAAGCCCAGCTAACAGCCAAAAACTAGCATCTTTGGAACAAAACACTCCTAACAAGATGCTAGTGGAAGACAAACTTTTTATGATACAGAAAATATTCATTATTTTAGGTAGCTGAAAAACATATATTGACTTATCAAAACATACGGATAAATGAGCAGGAATGCATTATTTCTTGTTCTGCAGAAGTAACTTAAAAAAAAAACAAAAAAAGAGTTAAATGGAGACCACACTGAAATTAAAGACTGCACCTTCAGCTCCAGGGCCACAGCCAAATAGAGCTACAAATGCTAAAAATGCTGTCTCTCAAACGAGGACCTGACTGTTCTCAGTACACTGGGGGAAATTTGCAAGTGATATGAATAACAGAAGCTACAAGTCAACCAGTGTCACATCCCTTCTAACTGGCATATCTAAGTCCTCCGGGAACCATAAACTTGGGGTGTTGTTTCTGCCTCAGCATGCCCAGGGAAATACAGGAAAGGAAAAAATAAACTTTTCCTTAAAACAGTGCTCCTCTTCATATTACATTTAACTTCCAGCAAAAAGCTAAGAAACTAGTCCCAGTGTCCTGTGATCTTGTTAGGTGAGTCCTAACTAATGAGTTCTAATATTATTAGGAAAACGTCTCCAAATGATTGTTTTTGTGGTTCTTGCACATGCTAGTGCCCTCATCTTTCGACTCTGGTTTAGAAAGGTCAGCTGGGTCCCCTGGAGGAAACTCTCATTGTGGATTTCCCAACAACAGGAGACGGAGCAGCAGCTGGCCTTGAGGCGGATGAAAGGTCCTCAGTTCGCAGCTGAAGAGCACAATGTGAGCTGCGGGGTCAGAGCCCGGGTGGGCTCAGTGGCAGCCGCTAAACTGCGGATGTGAGCGGCTGCAAACCCGCACCCTGCACGGGGGAGTGGGGCGCCTCTGTGCTTTGCAACGTACCCTGCAAGCTCTGGTACATGCTCCAGTAAATGCGCAGGCAGTTTTTCTCCTTCTTCATGCCCCTCTTACAGCGACAGTTGTAGAGGGATTTCTGCTTGAGAGCTTCCATGGCGCTTCTGCATTCGTCCTTCGCCTCCAGGCCCGTGGCCCGGCTGAAGTTGCTCTCTTTACCGGCTACACACTGCCTCAGTGTCCTGTATTTAGTACTACAGCTCTGCTCCTTCAGACACTGATCGCTGGCTTTCACGCAGTCGAGGCGGTCCCCTCCAGGCAGCCCGCTCACTTCTGCACACAAAAGTACATCTACAGAGAGGAGACATAAACCAACAAACACTCCTTGAGGGAGAAGGCGGATTTAACCGGGGCTCCAAAGAAGCATCTGGGAAGCACCGGGCACCTCCTCACGTAGCACATGCAGCCAACCCCACGGGCAGCACTTGGCAAACCTGGCTTCGTGCTACGCCTTAGAAAAAAGGACACAGGGTTTAGATCCACTTTTTGAGGAAGTCCAAAGAAAAGGTAAGTTTTAACCCCGAAGGTTGATTTATGAGGAAACACAAAAAGGAAAGAAAACCCACAGGGGTTAATGTGCCTGACAAAACAAGCATTCGTTATTCCATAGATCCACTTTGGTGAAACAAATCAGCTTTCCATCCGAGGGTTTAACTGAGGGGTTAAATATTCACCCTCCCTTTCCACAAGAGCTTTGCTGTAATTTCAATTACATCCAGGAACAGCCCGCTCAGAGAGATAAGTATCCTCACTGATTGATATTAGCCTGTCTTGGCGTCACTTTTTAAAGGCTGTACACATTTTTGCTTATTCTATATGTATAAAGGTAGAATTTATTACTCTTCTCCCCCTCTCTACCCCCCATTTCTCTCCACGCATGATGCTTTTGCAGGAGAACAAAGCAAATTACATTAACTCTCTCCTCTCCATCGTGCCCCTGTCATGCTCCCTCAGACACATGCGGATGGAAACGCAAACATCTCCTGTGGAAAGGAAACCAGTTTGGGCTGTAAACCACTAGCACTCGGGCACGCTGCCAGGTGCAGGTGAAGATACAGTCCTTCAGCTGGCTCTTGTCACCCCCCCACCCTCCCCAGGCAGCCTTCTTTTATTTAAATGAAAAGTTTCCCTGCAACTTGCGAGAACCCAGTTTAACAAGAGGCTAGACAGGCAAGTATCCAAGTCTGTAACCTCACAAAGCTTTAAATGTGGACCAGGCTAACTGATGTGAGACAGAGCCATAAAAACTACTGGAAACTTCACTATTCTGCCTAAACAATAGACTGACAACCGTCAGGCTCCCGATCCCGTAAACTCTACGCTTTGCTTTAGGAAGCGATGTACAGACCGAAATCAGGCACCAGCAACTTACCCACTAAGGGCAAAGCGAAGTACAAGAGAACGAGAAACATCTTGCTGTCTTCGGATGGTTTCCCCAAACAACCTGATGTGTCAAAATAAAAAGGATCAGCATGTAGATATTCCAAAACCACCGAGGTCCAAAGGTTCCAAGTTCACATCCATTGAATTCAGTGGGGGGGAATAAAAAAAAAAGAAAAAGAAAAAAAAAAATCACACAAGCCCCTCTTCTCTTCACCGCTACCACCACCGGCGGCAGGAGCAGCGACGCAAACGCTGAGCTTTTCCCTCAGATTTCAGGTCTGAGCAACCTGCACGCACCAGCACTGACTCCAGTGCGGAGCCAGAGGCGCACGCACGGGTATATGTGTGTGTGTGTGTGTGTGTGTGTCTGTGTGTGTGTCTGTGTGTGTGCGAGCGAGCGGCAGCGGGGCAGGAGCGCCGGTCGCCTCCTTGGGTGGGCAGCGCCTGTTCCCAGGAGGGACCCGAGAGCACAGGGGGCGGGGGAGGAAGGGGGGGGCACAAGGGACCCGAGACGCGCAGCGCCCGCCCCGGCCGCCGCCCGCAGCCCCGCACCGCGCCTCCCCGAGCCCCCCGGGGCAAATTCGCCCCTTCAGCCCAACAGCAACTTTATTGCTGCGGGGCCCGGGGCGGTGCGCGGGGGCGCGCAGGCTGCGCGGAAGCGCTCTCGCCGCCGGGGCGGGGCCGGGGGTGGGGCGCGGTGTCACCGCCGGCAGCGGCGGCGGCGGCCAAAAGTTTTGGCAGGGAATGGGTAGCGGGCGGGAGGCGCGGCCCTCCGGTTCCGCGCCCAGAGCGGAGCCCGGCGGCTTCCGGAGCGTTTCCGAGCGGACCGCTGAGGCGAGCGGGGGAGAGGCGGCGGCGCCCAGGGATGACCGGTCCCGCCCGCCCTCCGCGGGGGAATCGGCGGCCACAGCCTCCTCCTGCCGGCCCCCGCCGCCCGCGGGGAAGCCCGAGGCGTCCCGCAGCGACCCGGGGGCGGCGGAGGCACCGCCCGTCCCTCCCCTGCGTCCCTGAATGGGGCGGGCGAGCCCCGCGCCCGCCGAGCCGGGACCCGCATCCCTGCGGTGCGCGGTGCGGTCCAGCCCTCGGCCGGGGCCGAGCGGAGTGTATCGGCTTCCACTTGGCTCCTGAATAAACAAAGAGAACATATGTCCCATATTCGTGACAGATGGTTCAAACAGAGAACTATTTAGTGGTTTTTCCCCCAGTTGCTACTATGGACCGCTCTCCCGAAACCCAACAAAATGCAATTAGCCTGAAATAGCATCAGTTTCCAGATTTCCTTGTTTTCATATGTGGGAAATTTGATTCAGGTGTTTTTATGTTCTAGCTGCAACCAAATGTGTTCAGGTGTTTGGGTTGGTCTTATTAATTTTTTTATTTCTTTTTTTTTAAGTCAGCGTATACGTTCCTTGGCAGTTTTGTCAACAAGCTATTTGGCTCATTTGACTTAAGGAATTTGCCTTTCCTTGCAATAAATTTTGCCTAAAGGAGTTTGCCTTGCCTCATGAGATGGGAGATGATCAGGCTGGCCACTTTTGCAGCAAAAACTGGATGGCAGATGGAGCTAAACTGTTGTGAGGTACTTCAGAAACACTTATTTAAAAGCTTAGCATATGCCAGGATATACAGAGAGTGCAACAGTCACAGAAGGGGCTTTTTTTAACCCAAAAAAACCTGCACAGAGTACTGGTTCTTTCGGTGAAGTTGTAATAGTGATGTCAAGTTGCAACTGATTAAGTCACAACTTTTGTGTTTTGGTTGTTTAATACGAAGAGGCCCGTACTGTTATATAGTCACAAAATCTATTCTCTGCTGTTCCTACAAGGACAGAATTGGAAAAACAAACACAAAGACCAGATTTCTAGAATATTTCAGGATAATTAGAAGGTGCTAAGGTGGTGATAGCATTGACAATTCAAGACAGCTTCACCCTTTCAAGTAGCTGGTATTTAATGAAACAAGTTGGCCTCCCAAACACTTCAGTACAAATTGAACTGGGTGATACAGAGAGATGATTACTTCTTTGCTAGTAATTTTGACACTATTATGGCACATAATAAGCTTTGTATAGAAGTTATCTGTATATCTAATAGAGAGGTAGCATAATTCTTCTGTTATTTAGAAGTCTAAATCAGAAATAGCTACACCATTCACAGCAGGGTATAGCAACTGAAAATAAGACTGAAATCCACTTTTTACAAAATCATTCATGCTTTAATGTCCTGAATACTTATATACACACAGAAGTTATTTGGCCTATAAAAGCAACACATTGCAAATCTCTGCATTAATAGCTACTTATGCTGTTGTAAAACACAGATTTTGTGGGGTGATTATTATTACAGTAAAACCGAAATCATGTTTTAAGTTTTAAAAGTCAAATAAAATGTCACTGACAGTTCAGAAATAACAAGACAGCTGGAAAACATGCATCCAAAATTCTGAATATTGCCCCTAAACACTCCTCCTGCCAGTATTTTGACTCATCTCTGAACAACTACCACCAAAAATGAAAAAGGGTTAAAATGTTTTAACCAAAACAAAGTTTAAAATGCAAAACCATGTTTGAAAAACAAAATCTGAGAAGAAAGTTCATGCTACATACAGTTGCTCAGAATATCCACCTGCTGCACAGTCTTTAACAGGACCACAGGTGCAAAAAAGCTTCTTCAAAATCACAAGGACATTTGTTCCACAGCAGAAATTACCTTTTTTTAACTATTTTTTAGGTAGTCCCTATCCTTTCCATTTATGACTAAACTAATTTCCATGTCCTGGAAATTAGCCCTGAGACAGCACTAGTACTCTACTCTCTCTCTAGAGGATCATTGTGGTTTTGGGTAGCTGAAGTTACTTGGGTGTTGAACTGGTGTCCCATTAACACACAAGCTATGCAGCTTTCCTGAACTGAAGCACCATGTTTTATTAGTATTGTTTATGTATAGTAGTGTGCCACAAATTGTAGCTACAAATCATTATTAGTTTTTTCAAGAATTTAAAAATATACCAGACAAAACACCACAAGCCACTCTGTGGCTGGGGTCATAATGCTTCTGCTCTTTGCACATTGTTTTCCAATTGCCTTTTACCCCCTCTGGGTTAAAATTTAGTCAATGGATGCCTCACTGTTGATTTCAGTCAAACCTAAGTCCATCTTACAATTTGTGTCTGTCAATCACTCCACTCATGAGCTTCTTCAGTCAAATGAAGAATAAAAGAATAAACCATACAGAAGTACCTACAACAAACATTTTAAAGATTTTTAAGCTTTTTTAATACTCTGTTGATAGAGTTTTATTAAAAAAACTTTCAGGACAATTAATATAACATAACATATATAAGGTGCAGCTCGTAAGGAAGCTTTCATTAGAAGCAAGGTGACAACACAATCACCACTGAATTACAGTTTAAAGGCCATCACAGTATAAATAATTTGGAAGACAGAACTAACTACTCCAAGCTCTTTGCTGCCAGCATTAACTGATGGTACTTCAGTATTTAAGTACTTTTAGTTACTGGGCTCTTTCTAATTGGAAGCTGTTTTACAATAGCTGGCATCCTTTTCTTGAAAATTTTTCATGAAGAAAAGACAAAGTAATGAGGATCATGGGGTTATTTGATACTAAAACTTCAGTAAGAGACAGTGCTTCAAACACTTTTCTCTCCAAGCAGGTTGAGGTAAGTGTAACCCCTAACAGTGGTCACTGTTAAACTCCCTGTCACCTTGCAACCAGGTCCCAAATGCTCTGAATGCATCAAGAAACAGCAACCTGTAATCAGAACCACCTGACCCTGGAGGCCAGGCAGAGAAGGTGTGTGAAGTCATAACACAAATTTTGCTGCATTCAGTTTTACTGGATGTCCTTCTGCCTCATCCTTTGCATGTCAATTAGAGGTTGACAGCAAGCTCTTAAAAGGGCGTCACGTGCAAAGAGACCTGACTCAAAGGCAGTGGATGTTGTTTTGCAGCCAGTTCCACTTGCAAAAGCTGCAGTGTTGGAGCTCTGCACTGGGTTGGCCTGGCTGGCAGGAGTTCAGGTGACAACGTACCCAGGAGCTGAAAGCTGAATTAATACCTTGCCTGGCCCACAGTTAGCCTGCAGATTCCCTTTGCCATCTCTGCTGTACACCTCATTTTGAAGACCAAACTCTGCAAGAAAATATTGAAGTTGGAGTCAGTGAGCCCAGGGAACATTACACAGTATTATCTTCAGGGTTGGTAGGTATGTGAAGAGAAAGTATGCTCAGAATAAGAACAGTGCCATGAACTTTAAATGTAATTCTTTGGGGAGTGAATAGGTGAAGAAAAGCTGCAGCTGAACTAATGAGTCAGATCTAGCAGATGGGGGAGAGCAAGCAACTGATGGGAAAAAGTCTGTGTGCCACTGGAGCACAAAAAGTAGTGTTTACACGGGAGGCTTTATTCAATAATGGGAAAGGGAGAATAGAGAAGTTAGAGAATTACAAGGGACTGGGGGAACAATCTGAACTGCATTTTTTTGTCTTACATTTATCTGCTTACCATAAAGTCAAAGTGCCTTTTGGTGGGAATAAGGCAAGAAGGATTTGCTCAAGGCATTAAAGTTTTGTAAAGGGCAGATTAAATAACAGTGCTCCAAAAATCAATTTTGAGGGGCTTATGAAGCCTTGAATGGGCTTTTGCAGCACAAAAGCATGATTGAGTTTTTACTGAACCTGTCATTTATTTGGGTTTAGAGCTTTCAGTAAGCATCAGAGAAAACATAAAACAAAAGCAAAGTAAGCAATGAGCATTCACAGAGCAATCAAATAAAAAACACGTGGAAGTGCAATCCAGATCACAAAGTGACTTAATTGATGCAAAAGTATAAGAAAAGAAATTCATCATCTACAAACTACACCCCCTGCCCCTGCTTTAAGCAGACCTGATAGTGAATTCCCAAAACTGACTATTCTCAGCTGTTCTTGACCAAGAAGTTTTTCCTAAACTCTTGCTTCCCTGTCCTCACCAGAGGTTGGTGTAGTAACAGGCCACCTGGAAGGAAAAAGAAAAAAAAAAAAAAGATAAAGAAAAACAAAGCTGCAGAATTCCTCTGTGAATTCATGTAATATATGACCCGAGTATGATTTCAGTAGAAAAGATACACGAACACTAAAACAGTACAATGCAGTTCAGAGTTTGTAGTGAAGAAACACGACATACTGCTTAACCCAAAAAGTGTGAAAATACAGACAGAACTGCAGCCACTTGTGAAGCTCTGTATCTTATAGAAATTATTTCATTTATCTCTAAATATTGATATCAAGGCATAGACACTGATGTTTGCCCAAACTAGTAAGAAAAGAGTTGTTAGGACAGACCGGTCCTTGCATCCCTCGATTGATGGCTTG